TATGCACTATTCACTTGTCACTTGTAAACAGGTTGAGTTCAGATTTGTGAAAATTTACAAATTTGCACTGTTCGAGTGTTGTCATTGAGTTAGAGAGAGTAAATGATATGAATAAATTTGACATTAAACCTAATCCAAGTTGAAGTGTTACATCATTTTCAGCCCCCTTTTTGGCATCTGCATCAGGTAGCAGGTCAAACTGACAAAGATCATGCAGAATAATGTAGTATTTTAATTCCACAGCAGAGAAAACTGTGTAGTCTCTGTAAGTAGGTCTACGGGAAAAATATCGATATTGGTATCGATTACCGTCCAAATAAGTTTTAACATATTGGAATGTCGGATATCAGCCAAAAATCCAATATCGTGCATCTCTATTTTGCACTTTATTTATGTACCAATTATAAAACCATTTGTAAGTTAAATTGTTCAGAAATGGACAGACTGTTTCGTTACTCTCAAAGAAAACACACCTGAAGAATGTTAACAAAAGAAAACAGTGGATTTTTAAAACAAGGCAGGTTTTTTTTTGTCACTCTAATAAAACAATTAACAGAGTTGAAATTAAATGAACTTTCAGCTGTATTTTATTTTTTTGTTAAAAATGTGTTTTTAATATTAAAATTGATTATATTTTACTATTTAATTGTTGAAATGTTATTATTCCACCACATAATAGGACACCTTTTAGGTTAAAAATATGTAAATATATCATCAAACATGGATTTCAGAGGAAAATATACTTTACATTTTAGTTTAGCTTTTAATCATTCACAAACACACACAAAAAAAAAACATTTCTGTAAGAATATAAAAGAAAATAAAAGTATAATTTTCCAAAATGGCCTAGATCCACTGATACAAACTGCATTAAAAATAAAAGTGTTAGAATTATTAGTCATGTTTTCCTGGGATACATGAAGCGTTTCAAACACATCCTGTTCCACTGAAACAGATAACATGAACACCAGCTGCATATCTTCACGTCTTGCTGCAGAAACATTCACATCAGTAAACTACCGTATTTTCCGCACTATTAGTCGCACTTTTTTTCATAGTTTGGCCAGTCCTGCGCCTTATAGTCCGGAGCGACTTGTATACGTTTTTCCCCTATTCATGACACAACTTTTGACTGACACGTTAAATGTTCATTCATACAGACATGAACAAAGAGTAAACATTACCATCTGCAGCTGCAAGAAGGCCCTCTAGGCTTTTGATAACTATATGTTGTTCCTCTACCGCTACACCCCCCCCCCCCAAAAAAAAAAAAAATAAATAAATACATTCACTTAGAGACAACTGAGAAAAACTTAAAAAACAACACAAATAAAATGCCCCCAAAAGTGATGTGGAATGAGATTGGTGAATTTACCAATAACGTGCTTGTTGGACTCGTTGGCTTGTTATGTTAGTTAAGCCAGTTCAGGATGCCAGGTATGTTCTCTGTGTTATTGTTATTTCAGATTAAATGTCTGTTCTAGCACTTTGTGAAATGCACTTCTAAATAAATGCGATTTATATTCCTAAGTGACATATTATTTTTTCCTCTTCATGAGGCATTTTTTGACTGATGGGACCTTTACTCAGGAGCGACTTATAGTCCGGAAAATACGGTAATTCAAACCTCTAGCCACCAAACAAGAACAACACACAAGATAATCCCGTTTTGGCACATTTTATGTAGACAAAATGTTTAAATGTTATGCTCCAAGTCTCCCAAGTGTTTTTTGTTTTCCATCTGGGAATGGAGCTGGATCATGTTTTTGTAATCTTAGTACAAATAAATGAGTTTTAAATCATTTTTCAGTCTTCCTCTCAGACGTAATTCCTGCATTAATCATAAATTAAGGGTCTTAATTGTAGCTCTTTGTGTCGCGTCACTAAAACACGAGACAGCCTCAGCAGAAGAACAGTTAGTTCTGTGACACAGACTCTACTTAAAGTGGAATTGTCTCGATTTGACGCAGCTCAGGACATTTTGTGAATGAAGAGATGTGATGTTAGTCATCACAAGTTGTTTTGCCTTTCATCTTTTCTTGGTTAGTCAAACTTATTTTAAAACGAAATGAATCAGAACAAAAATCGGACAAATGAACTCGGCTCGGGAGCACTTTAGCTTTTCCATTGGTGACAAATGTTTAACTGTTCCAAAGTGTGCAAAGTCTTGTAGAAAGAGCAGCAGAAAATCCTATCAAAGGTTAAACCCTGATAGTAAAATCCAACACGACTACAAAAAGCCAAAGGCAGCTTATCAATGTAGGCAAGAAAACGGTGCCGGTGGTATGTGGAGTCAAGAGTCCACAAATGTTTCAAAGCAAAGTTCAGATCTTTTGAAACTGAGTTCTGTAGAGACGCTATGAAGTAATAACTCCCCCGCTGCTATAGCTCTTTGAAGAAACAGTTTAATTGATTGGATTGACGCAGTTAGCTGCTACTATTTGAGCTTTAAAATAAACTTCTACATACAGAACTGTGTGAAGTGAAGCTGAACTGTCAAGGTTTATAAAATGACATTTATGTGGACGACAGTGGTGTTTTCGAAAAAGGAGTTGTTTTAAGACGGCAGCAATCCACTTTGGTTTGGCTCCTGATCAGATTATTTTGTTAATCCAGTCAATTCAATTCAGTTCAGTTTATTTATATAGCGCCGAGACACAACAGAAGTCGTCTCAGGGCACTGAACAGAAACATTCATATACATAAAAAGCAAGTTAATAACGTTATTTATCTGAGGAGCAGACTGCTTTGAGTCTAACTTCATCACAGAACTCTCATCTTGAGCAAGCACGAAGGCGACAGTGGAGTGGAAAAACTCCCTCATGAGTAAGAAACCTTTAAACAGAACCAGCCTCAGGACAAGCGGCCATCTGCTTCATCTGGCTGGGTTTGAGAGGAACAGATACACAATGGCAGGCCGAGAATCACATATTAAGATAGAAATGGTATCAGATGAAAACTGTTCAATTTGAACAATTAATTGAAGGAAATTAGGTCAATTTATCCTCCAGTAGCCTAAGCCTATAGCAGCATAACAAGCGAACACTAACTATAGGATTTATCAAAAAGTCTTAAGCCCAGTCTTAAAACTGGACAATGTGTCAGCCTCATGGACAGAAACTGGAAGTTGGTTCCACATGAGAGGAGCCTGATAACTGAAAGATCTTCCTCCCATTCTGCTTTTGGAAACTCTAAGAACCACAAGCAAACCTGCAGTCTGAGAGTGAAGTGCTCTGTTGGGAAAACATGGAACAATAAGATCTGTAATATAAGATGGAGCTAGGTTTTTGAGGGCTTTGTAGGTTAGAAGATTTTTGAATTCTATTCTGAATTTGCCACTATTTCTCCAAAGTGATGTCGCTCAAAGAGCCATCTGCAACAAGCAAGGTATTAATTATTCATATTTCTTCCACAGAACCCCACTTTAAAATATCCCATTTATCATGTTATGATAATAAAACTCAGCTGAAATGACTTAAATTCCATCAAAACTAAATATATGTGGGGTGGGGGGGTTACTTTCCCATGCCAGGGTATGAGATATTGTTTATAATGGCAACACGATCTCTTAGTCTCTTATGCCCTTATCTTTTAAAGCTTCATCAGCTGTTTACCTAGAGGACTACACAGAGCTGAGATCAGTCTAAAGGTCAGTACCCCCTGAAAATGTAGAAAACACGATGGCACAATTAAAGACAGCTCAAAGCAAAAAGACATGGAACCTCTGTAGACTCGGGTTATTTTTTTTTTTTTGGAACCAGCAGACATTTAGGATTTAAAGTCTCATTTTTAACCACAGTCTCCTGGCTCAGTCTCCTCACCTCTGCCAGTTTTTATCATGTCACCATTTTGTTCAACTGCCAAAACATGAGAACAGGTCCGACAGGCTTCATCTGCGGTGCAGTTAAGAGTTGTATCGTCAAATAAACTTTTACAGGAGGGGAAGCGAGACTAAAGTTTCCAGTAGGTTTCCAGTGACAGCGCCTCATTAACGTAATGTGCTGCAGATCCAGGAGCCTGGAGGGAGGCTGCAAACTGACATAAAACAAGTGAAAGCACCCTTTCAGTCTAAAGCTGCACGGTGATGTTTCCTCTTACATTTTCTATGAAAATAGGCGTTACCGTGTCAGAATTTGAATACGCAGGTGAACAGTGGGGGCAGGTATGTCAGCTCAGGTGGGTTCATCCTTTCATTAACTATAATAAGTGTTGGTTTTGTGTGAAGACTCGTCTCATGACACCCAGACAGTCTTCAGAGATGAAGCAACGCCACAAAAATAGGTCATCTCAAAATCGACTGATGGCGTAGATGTTTCACAATGACACATACATCTGTAAGTAGGTCTGCCCTGGAAATTTCAGGTTTGAAGATTAAAAATCAACTTTAAAAAAAAAAAAAAACATCAGGTGATCTTGCATGACTGGCGGCAGTCAGGAGAGCTGTTACTGTCATGACCTTTGGACACACTTTGCTTTAACTTTTACAGCAAGCCAACAAATGCAATGCAGTAGAGACAGTACTTCTTCAAAAAGATGCAAACTTTTAACTTGAAACTGATTAAAGGAAGACTGATTCACTGACAAAACGTTAAACCGGTGCAGCCGAGACAGAGTAAAAATAATTTAAAGCAAATAACTTCACCTTGTGATCAAATATAAACAGAAAACATCAGCTTGTGAAAGTATATTTAACGCGAAAATATAGCATCGATTTATGGCAGAAAAAATAGGAGATCTAACGGGGAAAATTTGCGCAGCGGGTATGTCGTGACGTTATTGAACGCACCACCACCACCTGACTCCACCTGAGTATCAGTTGGTTTCGACACAGTAAAAGTGGAAAAATCCGCCTCGATTTCTCAAATAAACTAACTCGGTCCCAACGTTGCAGTCGTGAAGTCGGCGAATAAAACAGAGCTCATGAGCAAAAACAATGATTTTAGTCAAAGTGGAGCAAACACCTGTTGTTAAAAACGCTGTGCGCCGTTCAATGGCCTTACCTGTCTGAGGCTTTCAGGTGACGCGAGCGGAGGGGGAAACGAGAGCTCTTTGAAGTCTCGACTTTTTCCCTGAACAGAAAGTAAATTTAAAATAAAATAAAATAAAAAAAAATAGGATGGGACTTTGGGAGGGAAATAAATGGCAGTAAAAGTTTAAATAGCTCCCCGGGAACTGAATACGACGGGGAGGAGGAGGAAGAGGAGGGGGAACATGTAAGAGTTTTTCTGCCGGGTGGGGGGAAGGCGGGACTAGGCGGTGTTGCAAGATGGAAACAAAGGGAGTGGCAGAAGATAAAAAATAAAAAACACTTAGTGTGAGTAAAGGGCTGGGAGGAACAGCCTTTCCAGGTACTTTAGCCTCTGATAGCGCCGCTGCAGATTGACGTCATCAGCTGGCTCACGAGGAAGAACAATCCTCACCTGCTGGGATCATGAGCGGTTTTCTATTTATATTAAATTATTATAATTATCCCGATATGATCAAAAAAACGTGTTGTTGTTTTATGACCACGTGATGTTCCACAGTCTTCTTTTATTTGTATAAGTTTGACTGATCTAAAGGTATTACATGTTGTTTTAGATGGCTGCTCATTTCAGCTTTTTGGGTGTTTTATTCATTTTGTACCATTTAAAATGGATTATTTTGGTCTGGTTTGGGAATGAGATGTGGAATGTGGTGCAACGTTTAGGAAAACTGCAGTAACAGTTTTTTTTTTTTTTAACTTAAAGGGACAATTCAAATCTTTATTGATAATTTTATAGTAACTAAGGAGTGGCACAGTGGTGCAGTTGATAGAGCTGTTGCCTCTCAGCGAGAAGGTCGTCAGCTCAAACCCTGGCCCACGACCCCCCTGAGTGAGCAGACCCTGCATGTTCTCTCCGTGCATGTGTGGGTTTTACCCAGGTACTCCAGTTTCCTCCCACAGACCAAAAACATGCATGTTAGGCTGATTGGTAAACTAAATTTATCCCTAGGTGTGAGTGAGAGAGTGAATGGTCGTTTGTCTCTATGTGTGATGGAATGGAGACCTGTCCAGAGTGTCCCCCGCCTCTCGCACAGTGACTACTGGACTTGGGCACAAGTGACCCTCGTGCACCAAAAACGAAGAAGCAGGTAAAGATAATGGAAAGATGGATAATTGAGCACCATTCCCCAAATAGTTTCCAAGCAAGTCAAAGTTATTCTCTTTTGTTTTGGTCTCTTAGGCCTGCTTTTTTATTTACTGTTAACAAATTTAACTTTATTGGTATTTTGCATTATGACAGTGACATAAATCCCTAACCAGTATAATCACTGTAAGGAAAAAAGAAAAATCACTGTAATGCCACTTTAATTGGCAATATGTGACTTATCTATGCTGCTGATTATCTATGCTGCTGATCTTATCTATGCTGCTGATTATCCATGCTGCTAATTATCACATGCTGCTGTATTCATTCATACCTATCTGCTCACCAAAGACTCATGTTCGGGCTGCTGTTGTTACGCCATATTATTTTAAATTATTAGTGTTTAGCGTATCTCTCAGATTTTTTAGCGTATTGTTTGGTGTTTGTTTAGCGTATATCTTAGATCCTTATTTACTGTTTCTTTTTATACTTTTTGTTATTTTTCGGTGTTGGACCCTGTGTACATAATTTCGTTCCACCTCATGTACCAGATGGGATGGTAATGACGATAAAGTTGACTTGAACTTGAACGTGTAATGTTTCCGGGTGTGTGAATGAGTGCAGAGCAGCTGAAACACACGTGGATATATCAACACTGTTTAGGCCAAGTGTATTTCAGTGAACTGGAAGTGGGCATGAAACTATCTAGACCCCAAAACTTAATAAAATATTGACTTTGAGCGTGCACATTAATAACTGTAAAAAGGTCACTTGCAAAAGATACGAACAGTTAACATCTTACCTGTTGCTGATAGCTCTTCGAACATCCTCGGGAGAAAACGAGTTTAACTCTGACCAGATTGACAAGATAACGGCTAATCTGAGTGGAACCAAAACCAACGTGCCGTCCTAAAATAACTGTGACCTCAAGCATTTACTTCGATTAAATATCAAACTAGCGTTACAAGCTGTGAGCTCCATCTGCAGCACCGTGTGCCTGAAAATCATATTTCCACAGTAATAACTAATGAACACTTGATGTTGATGTAAAGGTTTATAAAACTGTTTATGAAACTGTTTATAAAACTGTTTATGAAACTAACAAATATTTGAGATTTGAGTTGTTTTAGGTTAGCAAATATCCACATTGGATATTAGCCATTAGCTCATCTGTCTGGTCGAAATGAATCTCTGATTTTATTCTAATTATCCATTCATTTACTTTGAGTCAGCCATTTTGTTGAAGTGTTTGACATTTTAACTTTTGTTTTCCTCCAGCTACAGTATGTAGTACCCTAGAAGCCTGTCTACAGTAAATGTAGTGAAAATTAACCACAATGCACTGCAGTCGGAGCCAACGCAGCTGGCTAATCAAAGCTAATGCTAACATTTTCAGCCTTTTGCCGTGATTTTTTTTTTCCAGATTTGAACCAAATGCCTGTATTTATCACATTGTCTAATGTAATACGACTACGGTAATCTCTTTTGCCTTGGCACAAAAATCTTTACTAATACTATATTTAAAATATTTGTATTCGGTGTTAACATAAAAACTGTTGTAATTTTTTTAATTATTATTTGCTCATAGAAGAACACCAAAAACATTTTGTAGGTACAGTAATATTAATTCAAAATTGTTCTAAACAGGAACACTATAACAGAAAGGTACAAATAGTTCGCACTTGACTGGGGCGGCTGTGGTATAGAGGTAGGGCAGCCGTCATGGGACCAGAAAGTCACAGGCTCAACTCACTGCCATGCCCACATGTTGTAGTGTCCCTGAGCAAGACACCCAATCCCTAACTGCTCCCCAGGTGCTTACATAGCTGCCCGCTGCTCCACCTGGGTGTATCTTGATGGGTTAAATGCAGAGAACTAATTTCATCATTGTATGGGAACATGATGACAACACAAAGCACTTCTTCTTCTTACACGTAGATCCTGATCCAAAGGCAACCTCACTACGTCTGGACCAAGCCGTGCCAAGCTGGACCAAGCCGTGCCAAGCCTGTGTATCTGTAGCATTCATGTGTAAATGAATTTCTCAACAGAGTTATGGAGACAGATAATGTTACTTACATTTTATCTGCCAAAACCAGAAATATTCTACCCATCGCCTCAGATTAAGGTGTGTATTCTTACTAGTGTAACAGGCCATAGTGTACTCCCAAGTCGGTACTATACCTGAGGTTAGAATGGCCTAGCCTAGATTATACCCCAGGTATACTATGACCTACCCCTCAGACCAGATGATGGGTATATACAGTGTAGATGGGTATATTTTGGTCTAGAGGGGTATAGTCTGGTTTAGATTATTTTACATCTCGCTCTGGATACAGTTTGACCTAGGACAGTTTATCCTCTACGGTATACGACTGAGCCAAACTGTACCGGGGTTTAATCTGGGCAGGGCTTAATTTGGCCTGTTACACTGGGGTTTATGTGACAACTGTCTGAAAAAATATGGAAAAACTGATGTAGTACAATGACTTAACTAGTAATATTCCACTGTGGTTTATGTTCACCTATCATTAAACAGTTGTAAAACGTCAACTTAATGACCGGATATTATTTAGCAGTGCTGAACAAACAAAGTACTGCAGTACAACATCAGTTATCACGGGTTTATCTAACAACTCCACTGACTGTATTGTGAAGATAAAAGTGAGAAACTACATATTCTTTCTTAAACTGTTAATGAATAAAACATCAGTCATTAAAGAAGAGTTACGTACACGCAAATAATCTGATGCTGTAGGAGCTGAGCCGTTTCAATCAAACCTTCTAAAAGACACAAAAGGACGTGAGATGGCACTCAGAATGACTCTCAGCTACTACCACACCAAATGTTAGCTTAGTTTCTGTTAATCTGACTCAAGTGTGGCCGTCTTTGCGTTGGCTCTTTGTGGTGCGTTTGCTTTTAATGTGCACTGAGGGACAACAGTCTGAGTCATTAAAATCTGTCCAACTGGTCCATGAGTTATTTTGCTAACAGACAAACACAAATTGCGTTTTCGCCTTTGACGATGAGGGATACTGAGCACTACAGAACGTGCATCTGTGCACTATGAGCCCACAGAGACGACCTGAAGCTGATCTTTGGGTTCAAGTCAGTGCTCTCCCCAGGAAAGGTCAAGAAAGGAAATATGCTAATCAGACAGAGACAAGCTGAGAATGAAGAATTCAAGCTATTCTGCTCACACTCATCACACATGCGTGCAAGCACAGTGAAATGCAAAGTACATTTTTTGGGATGGGGGTTGCTGGGGGCGTTTGAGAGCAGAGCCGTGATGTGTTTAGTTAAAACACAAATGCTTGTTTCTTCTCCAACAGTGATGTGTTTGTTATGTGCCCTCCACACACAGGCTGCTCGTCTCCCTCTGCAGTCCATTTCCTCGACCATGTCCTGAGTCACCGCACCACGCAGCTCTGCTATTGGCCCCCCGGACCCCGAGTGTCCGCCCTGTCCTCCAATCAGAACCAAACAGGCCTGTGTGGACTTACTTGGAGCATCTGTGAGTGAACGGACATCCTGTGTTTTAAAACATTTTCTCTCAGTTTTAGCCCTTCACCCCTCCAGTCCTCTTGTCTTTTTATGTGCCTCTACACACACACACACACGCACACACGCACACACACACATGCACCCTCAGATATCAGGTGTGTTACCTGAGCCCCGTATCAATAGTTTATCAGCCTGGGGCATCCAATCTACAGAGCAAAGCCGACGTCTCCCATGGAGGGTTGTTGTGGTTATGTCTGTTTCAGTTAGAAGAAAAAAGCAGCCGAGTTTGGATTGGACACAACGAGGTGGTTAAAACTGACACCAAACAGCTTTTCTGAAGCCCACAAGCTTGATTTGTTAAAAAATATAATTAGAGAGGATAAAAAAACAGTCTTTAAACAAAACTTGTCTTTTTAAAATAAGAAATGTCAAAATACTGTGATCTTTGTTCTGTTCTAAAATCCAGGGA